ACATGACATTGAAACAGACGACGGAGAGAACTATAAAAGGAATATATGATTAGGGATTAGCAGCATGACAGGAGTCTAGAATAAGAGTTGTATAGTAAAGTGGACTGGTCGAGGAGACTGTGTAACAGTGAAAGAATTTTTATTTTTTTTTTTCCCAAAGATAAAAGCTAACTAGGGGAAAGGGAGGCAGGGAGGAAAATGTGCAACAATGAATGAATGAAAATCCAAGTTCTTTATAAACTTTCATTAAAATCTCATTTTTTAAAAATGGCTGTTTTGAATAGTATGTTTAGATTTAGTAATAAAAACAAGAAATATACTAGTTTCCACCATGGTTATACCAATTTTTATCCCCACAAACCCTAGACATTGTCAGTCTCCTTCCCTTTTTTAGTCAGTCCTCCTTGTTTTGTAGACTGTCTAGTGATGTCACGTTCTTTAAATTTCTATTTATCCTATAACTGAGGGGCACTCTAATAGCATAGAACTTAGGGAGTTGTACTGTTAACTTAAGGTTATTGTTATATACCATTGAGTCTACACCTACCCATAGCTGATCCTCTAGAGGATTTCAGAGGCAGTAAATCACACAGGAGGAGATTGCCCATCTTTCTTCCACAGAACAGCTGGTAGATTCTGTCCACCCGCTTTCAGGTTGGCAGCACAGCTTCTTACCTCTAGCCCATCAAATCCATCAACACCTCCATTGGAGAAAGATGAACATTCTCCTCCTATGTGATTTACCTCCTCCAAAAAACTGCTGGAATGACAGCTATGAGTTGGTTCCGTTGCAACAGTGAGACTGAGAATGACTAATAAGCAAAGAATCCAGATGGCATAATAATGGCTGCTAATCCAAAAGTAGGCTTTTTAATCCAGAAGCAATTCCATAAAAGAAATGATTTGACAGACTACTCCCATAGAGATTACAGTATGGAAAGCCCTATGGTACAATTTAACTCTCCCATTAGTGTTACTGTGATTCAGAATTAGCTCAATAGAAAGCAACAAATGAGAACTGATTGCAGAGTTTTTTTATATTGGCAGTTGAAAGCCATGCAAAACTAAAATCATATCTTCTCAAAGAGGGGAAAAACCCAACCCACATGATTTAATGAAGTTGAGTATCTATAAAAAGTGCAGCTGGCATGGAGTTGGCATCTTGTGACATCCACTAACTCAACAAAGGAAAAACTACCCAACAACACCATCAACAGTGCTAAACAATTCCTTTGTTGTCAAACATTGTTGGAGACGCTCAGAATCAGCTGTAAAACCTAGGGCAGGTGCTGACTGGAGAACAGACTATCAACTACTCATGTGCAAGTTGAAATTGCAGCTAAGGAAGATTGAAACAAAGCCAAATATGACCTTGAGTTTATCCCACCTGAATTTGAAAACCATATCAAGAACAAGTTTGAGGCCTTGAACATTAATGAATGAAAACCAGATGACCTGTGAGATGATATCAAGAATATCAATTATAAAGAGTACAAAAGGTTGCTAAGACAGTGGAAGAAGAAAGACTGAGATGGCTGTCAGAAGAGACTGTGAATATTGCACTAGAACACAGAGAAGCCAAAGTAAAAGGAACAAATCTGGAAGTTCAAGAGCAGAAAAAAAAAGATTTAAAAGGGCTGCTCAGAAGGATAAAGCAAAATATTATAATGAAATATGTAAATAGCTGGAGTTAGAAAATCAAAAGAAATGAACTCACTCAGCATTTCATAAGCTGAAGGAACTGAAAAACAAATTCAATCCTTGGGTTGCAATACTTAAAGATAGTATAGATAGACTAATAAATGATACAGGAAGCATCAGCAGAAGATGGAAGAAGTGCTAGAGTCACCATACCCCAAAAAATTTTCCTGATACAAGAATTTCATGAAATAGCATATAATCAAGAAGCAATGGTAATAAAGGAAGAAATTCAAGCCACTCCGAAAGAATTGGCAAAAAATAAGACCCCAGGAATTGGTGGGAATACCAATTGAAATATTTCAACAAACAGTTGTAGCTCTGGACATGCACACCGGGTTGTGCCAAGAAATCTGGAGGACAGCTACCTGACCTACTGACTGGAGGAGATCCATATATATTCCCATTCCCCAAAAAGGTGTTCCAGCAGTGTGGAAATGGTCGGACAATAGCACTAAATATTACATGTAAGGAAAATCTTGCTGAAGTTTATTCAAAAGTGATGGGGACAGTACATCAACAGAAAACTGCCAAAAGTACAACAAGCAGTGTTTAGAGGAGGCTGTGGCACTAGGGATATCATTTCCAATGTCAGATGGATCTTGGCTGAAAGCAGAAATTACTGGAACACATTTGTCTTTTAATGACTATGCAAAGGTATTTAATTTTATAGATCACAATAAATTGTGGCTATCATTGAGAAGAATGGTAATCCCAGAAAACTTGATTGTGCTCATGTGAAACTTGTGCTTTGACCAGGAGGCAGTTTTCAGACCAGAACAAGGAAAAACTGCATGGTTCGAAAATCAAGAAAGAAATAAATCATGAAATGTGTCCTTTTTCAATAGCTTTTCAATCTATATGTGGAGCAGATCATTTGGGAGGCAGGATTCTATGAAGAATGTGCATTAGGATTGGAGAAAGATTTAACAACTCTGTTATCTTGATGACACAACTTTGCTTGCTGAAACTGAGGAAGACTTGATGTGTTTGCTGCAAAAGATCAAGGACAGCAGTCTTCAATACGGATTACATCTCAGCATCAAAAAAAAAAAAAAGAACCAACAAGATTTTTACCACCAGGCCAATAAGCAGAGCCATGATAAATGGAGAGGAGATTGAGGATGTTGACAATTTTATTTTACTTGGGTCCACAATCAGCAGTCTTGGCTCCAGGAGTCAGGAAATCAAAAGGTGACTTGCTTTGAGAAAGTTTGCAATCTGGAAGCTCTCAAAAATGCTAAAGAGCAGTTATATCACTCTTGAGACTAAGGTATTCCTGTTCCATGCCATGATCTTTGCAGTTGTTATGCCTCTGAGAGCTCATAATGTCTAAGGATGACAGAAAAATAATAGATGCCTTTAAGTTGTGGTACTGGAGAAGAATATTGACCACGCATGTCATGGACTGCCAGGAGAACTAACAGGCCTCCTGGAGAGGGTAAACCAAGTTGCATCCTTGGAGGCAAAGATTGTGAAGCTCCATTTTATATACTTGGGCATGTTTCCAGGGGGGACCAGTCCTTTGAGGAGGACATCATGTTTGGAAATGTGGAATGTCAGCGCAGAAAAGGAGGACCCTGGATTAGATAATTGACATAATGACTGTGGCAATAGAGGCAGGTGTGTCAGAGACAGTGAAATTGGTTCAAGATAGGGCAGGGTTCAAAGCTATTGTTCCTAGGATCACCATGAGATGTAGTCAACTTGACAGTACATACAAATCTTTGATTTTTAGAGAGAACATTATATACCAAAAGAATGAGAATTTCATTGTAAATAGTCTGAGAAAGTGATACTTTGGGAAGGAGATCATTTGGGCAGATTAATCTTTTTTTTTTTTTTTAAGTCAAAAGGTTATAATAAACTCAGTCAGGACAGTTTCTGAAGTGGGCTCGCAGTCACCTCAGCTTTGAGCCTTGTGGCTTTCAGCCAGTGTTACAAAGTTCTCAGTCCTGCCAGTATTGGCTCTCCCCACCTCAGCTGTCCAACAAACTTGAGCAAAGGCTCTTAACGTAGCTCTAGTTCTGTCTGTGGGGGGTAGCAGTCAGTTCCATCTCATGTTGGCTGTCTGGTCCTCTGCGCCTGCTGCTGTGGCTGTTCAGATTAATCTTTAAGGGATCTGAAGTTTATTCCACCAAACAGTTTGTGTGCTCTGTTGGCATATATGTCTGTTTATAACTTATCAAACTATTTCCAGAGTTGATATGAAAAGCTGTTACTAAACTTGCCATAAGCCAGTATCTTACACAAATTAGATTGTGTAAGTGTACGTTTCCCATTACGTATTAAATAGTGAACAAAAGCTGTTCTGTTAAATGATTCTTTTTGTATCATTACACATTCATTAGTTAGCCTGTATGGCTTTTTCAGATAACATTTTTTAACTATTATAATTAAGTTTAAAATAAGAACTTTTTTTATAGTTAGAATAATTAGAATGAATTCAGATGAAGTAAACCAAAGATAAGAATGTAATTGTGTTAACGTTTTTTTTTAAAGAACCTATTCTTATGGGAAATCCACATTATAGAAGCAAAATAGGACCTGATTTTATTTCAGAAATTAGAATTGCTTAAATTCTTATTCTTGAACAAACTGGGAGGGAGGGGGAAGGAGTTGAAAATATGTTACTGTTTCACACTGGGAACATAGAAGTTAATAGGGTTCTTCATACTTAGTGACAAAATTAGAGTCCTGAGTGTCACAAATGATTTTCAGTTTATCTATTAATCTAAAGGCCAGTGGCTTAAACATATCCAGTAGCACTGCAGAAGAAAAGCCTACAGTCTTTTTTAGTAAATATTAAAGCCAAGGAAACTTAATGTACAGTTCTCTTCTGTAGCACATGTGGTCACCACAATTCAGAAATGATTAAATAGCAATGGCTTGTTTCGGGGACAATGTAAATTAAAAATTACAGAGCAGAACTATTATTGATCTCTTAATCTTGTCCCTCATTTCTTCTGTATACAAACTGATCTTTTCTGATGACTGTGTCAGGCAATCTAATTTAGCTTCAGTAATGATAAAATTTTTCTTTTTAAAATATTTTTAATATTGGTATTTCAGAATATCTTAAATACCACTAAATTTCTTAAAGCTTTAAAAAATGCATTATTGGGAAATGTCTTCACTTAACATTATTATGTAATTCAGAAAAAACACCTAGATATGTCTTTTTATTATATACATTTTGTTATATGTGTAACAAGTGCTTTAAATGGATTATGTGTTATGTCTTTTATTTCTCTCCCAATTTCCTAATTTAAAATATAAAAATAGCATTCTCTTATTTTAAGCTCTTTTTCCCCTTTCAGCTCAACAAGAAGATGATGAATTTGTGTGTCAGATAATTTATGTCTTCTATCAAATGGTCTTCCACCAAGCCACAAGAGATGTCATAATCAAAGAAACACGTATCCTTTTAGTGTCTAAAATAAATTATGACATTTCACATATTCAGAAAAGATGCATCTTTTGGGGTTTGTTTTTTCCTCTTGCAGAGTCTCAAATAATATAGCATGCATCAAGCTTTGAAATAAATTTAGAAAGTTAATTTTCCATAGAAGTTGTTGACCTTAAGTCAATAGGTAGGTCAAATATAAAAGCCAAACTCACTGTCCTCACGTTGATTGCAACTCATAGAACACCTACAGGAAAGATTCAAGCTGCCCAGTAGAGTTTTCAAGGCTTGTAAATCTTCATAGAAGCAGACTGCCACATCTTCCTCTCATGTAGCAGCAAGTTTTTTAGCCCTGTGCAACCAGGAATCTTCAAATAAAATATAGTGCAGAGTTTTATTAACTTGTCAAGCTACAGTTCCCAAGAAATTTGACAGATGTGTCAGAAATCCTTTCTCTATAATGTAAATCTAATTCAGTTCTTTGAACTATCCTTTCTTCTGTGTCTGTCTCTCTCTCCCCATCACACACACACACACACACACACACATTGCCATCAAGTTGGAACCTACTCATACTATTTCTCTATTGGGTTACTAAGGCTGTAAATTGCAGAGGAAGAGATTGCCTGTCTTTCTCCCATGAAGCTGCTTGTAGATTTTAACCAATAGGTAGGTCCTGCTTCCTTTGGATTGTGTCACCAGAGTGCCTACTCTTCTAGTCTTACCATATTCACTCTTAATGGGGAAATATATCTATTCTCATGACTTCAGACACCATTGAGATGGTAAATATTTAAAATCTTGGGAATCTCTTTGCTGAGATTCAGGCATTTGTTCTGACACCTGAATGTCTTCTACCTACCTAAAAGAGCATAGCATGGTAGAACCTAAAGATAATTATAATGAAATAACACTTACTTTAAATTACCTTTTGTCCCTAACTAGCTGCCATACCTTGGGTAAGTTGCTTAGTCTTCTGAGCACATGACTTTGCATCTCTAAACAGGCAGCAATACTAATCTTAATGTAAAGACCCAACCTACCATATATGATTAATTGATATAAAGGACATATTCATTACTAAGACGTGTAACAACTCAAAAGGGCCTCTTTTTTATTATTATTAACATTTTTATTATTGAGAAGTTAATTTGCAGGGTACATACAAGAAGAAAAGTAACTGCACCTGATAGGAAAGACTAGGGTGGACCTCTTTCCAGTGTTCTTTGTCTTAAGATTTGGTACAGTAAGTAGTTAAAGATGTAATAGAATGAATTCTTTTTTTTTAATTAATTTCAGTGAACATTTACAGAGATTTTGGATTTCCATTCATTCATTGTTTCACTTTTCCTTGAAAAGCAAAAGGAAAAAACTCCTTCATTGGTATACAGTCCCCCCACGCACCCCCACCCCGAGTATACTCCACTCTGCAACCCTCATTCCAAACTCTTATGATAATCATAATGCCCTAAAATATATTACTTTTAAACTGTTCTCTCCCTCTTCGGCTTCAATGCAGTATACATAATTTATCCAGCTTTTCTCAATCTTACCCCCACCCTGATGTCAGCCTCATTCTACAACAGTGGCACCATACAGTATTTGTCCTTTAGTGACTGAGATATTTCACTCAGCATAATGCTCAAAAGGACCTTTTGTCACCTAGTAGATGAGGTGATGTACTACCAATTGATAGAGAGGTGTGACTCCATGCAACAAAGATGGCAATCTCCTATGCAATTTATAGAAAGCTCAGTGGAGACAAGCTATGAGTCAGTTCTGACAAGAACAACACACAGAGATACTCAGTAAATGGTAGTTTATGATTATTGCATCCAAAAGGAAAAGCAAGACTATCAGCAGACTCACCTGAAAGTCTCCAGATAATGCAGTTAAGTATTCAGCAACTAGCTAAAAGGTTGATGGTTTGAAATCACTCAGAGGCTCCTTGAAGGACATAGGTGAAAATATACTTCTGAAAAAAATTGCAGTTGGCATTTTTACTCTACACACTTGAGGTTACTATGAGACAAAGCTGCCTCAAAAGCAACTAACAACTCTCTTGTAAAAACATAAAAGAATGTGTCTGCCTAATATTGCTACTCCTGTATTCTATGTTATTTGTAATTTACTATAAGAAGTCCTGATGGCACTTTCATTAAAGAATTCACCTGCTATCAGAAAAGTTGATGGTTTGAACTCACCAACTACATCCTAGAATAAAAGGCCTGCCCTTCTGCTTCCATGAAATGTAAGCTTAGGAAACTGTTCAACGGTTCCACTCTGTTTTACAGGGTCACTACAAGTCAGATTTGACCCAAACCACAATAACATACACACTGTCTTCTGGTTGCTAATATCCAACTTAGAGCTATTTGCCTTTTAATGCAGAGCTCTGAAAGAGTTCTGTCGTGTACAACAAAGAAATAAAGGAACAGATGGGAGAAATTATAGGTCAGACCCATGAGATGGACAACCCAGAAGTACAGAGGTTCTACTTGGGTGCCTAATGCATGCCCTAGGATTATTGGAGAGCCACACACTTTCAAAGTGGCCTAAAAGAATTAAAGTGACCTTTGAATTTCTTTGAAAATAGTATCATAAATGTAGAATTCCCATAAATATTCTTGTTTTCCATTTCTAGCTAACATAAACATGCAGGATTGTCTAATAAAAATAAATATTCTCAATCTCAGAAGTAGTTTTCATCTTTAACATTTTTTATTCAGAAGCTCCAGCATATCTCATAGATCTGATGCATGATAAAAACAACGAAATCCGAAAGGTCTGTGATAATACCTTAGATATTATAGCGGTAAGTAATTATTGTTTCTGTATCATTTATAATGAGTTTTATTTGAGGAAGATGGAAACACTGTAAGCTTCGTTTTGAACTGTGCATTCAATATAAACATAAATTTATATTTTGATAAAGTTCAGGAAATTGTATGATACCAGATTAGTCTATTAAACCTTAAAACTTTTCCTTTCAAATTTTATGTATCTGTTAATTTTTAAAAGAGGTTTTTTACATATTCAGAGTTTCACATTGGCTCTACTTGTTCTTTTAGAATTACTTGGTCTGCATAGAAGTTATTTTGTAGTAGAGAGCTAGATAACAATTTCTGCTCACACACTAATGACCATTCAATTTTGCAATTTAATTTCTGAAAAATAAGCCAGATCAACTATTTCTTCCATTATCTGATCTTTTTTTATATACATAGATGTGCAGGGGTTTGTATGGTGTGTGGGGTTTTTTTACAACTTGCTTTAGAATGATGATTAATCTTACTGTTATTTATGACTGTAGAGATTTTGAAAGAATTATGACTAAAGGAATAAGACCAGAGAAATTCTTCAAATCCTAGAGTAAAAACTCACTGAACTTGCAAATTTGTCTGGCAAGATTAGACTGCCAACCATAGTCTTCTACCCTGTGTTAGGCCTTCTGCCAGGACTGTACCTAATATGAGACATTTTAGATTTCTGTTTTGTTTTTCCACATATCCTATAATTAGGAAGTTCTGTTGGCCAGATAGTAAGAAGCTGTGCTGCAGTACCAAAGGCATGTGGTTCAAATCCACTAGCTGTTCCACAAGAGAGAGATGGCCACTCTCCTGTTATTAACATCCTCTGAAAACCTGCAGGAGGGTCGGTTATGGGTCAATTTCGACTTGAAGGTAAAACAACAAAAAAAAAAACATAACTTAAGTTAGGACTACTTGATGCCTTCTTTGTCACTGAATTTATACTTTTTCCTTTAACCTGTTTTTGTTGTTATGTGTTATCTGGTCTCTTGCGACACATAGCAAGCAACCCTATGTGCAAAAGCCCTAAAACCTGCTCTAGCCTGTGCCAACTTTACTGTTGCTGACACACCTACTCTCATTACCCCAGTCACTGTATCAATCCATCTCATCAATGGTCTCCCTCTCTTTCTCCTTACCTCCACGCTTCCAAGCATGATGTCCCTCTCCAAGGACCCATCCCTCCTTTTAAAATGCCCTAAGTATTTCAGATGAAGCCTCAGAATCCTTGTCTCCTAGGAGCAGGCTGGCTTCACCCTCTCTAGGAAAAATCTGTTTGTTTTCCAGGCAGTCCATGGTATATTCAACACTCTTCTCCAGACTATGGTCTGGATCAGGCACACCATTCTCTGCAGGGTAATATTGTTACTCTTCAGTACTCTGGAAAGGTCCCTGACTGCAGACTTTCCCAATGCAATTCATCTCTTGATGAATTGGTAGCAACAGTGTTGATTGTGGAGCCAAGCAAACTAAAGCTGTTAACAATCTTAATCTCCTCACCGTCTATTATTATGCTGCCAATGGGCCCAGTGGTGAGAATCTTTGTTTTCTTGATGTTGAGCTTTAATCCATATTGAAGGCTGCAGTCCTTTATCTTCTGTAGCAAACACCTCAAGTCCTCTTCAATGTCAGCCAGCAGGGTTGTGTCATCTGCATAACTCAGGTTGTTGATGAGTCTTCCTCCAATCCTGATGCCTCGTTCCTCCTCATACAGCCCAGCCTCCCAGATGATCTTTTCTGCATATAGATTGAAAAAGCATGGAGATGGAATGCATCCATAGCATACACCCTTCCCGATTTTGAACCATGTAGTGTCTCCTTTCTTTGTTCTGACAACTGCCACCTGGTCCAAGTATAAGTTTCACATAAGCACAATCAGATGTTCTGTGATTCCCATTCCTCTCAGAGTCAGCCACAGTTTAACACACAATCAAATGCCTTTGCATATTCAATGAAACACAGATAGCTATTCCTCTGGTACTTTCTGCTTTCAGCCAAGATCCATCTAACATTAGTGACAATATCCCTAGTACCACAGCCTCTTCTAAACCCAGTCTGCACATCTGACAGTTCTCTGTGATATTAATTATAATTGTTCGATAATTTCCACACTCTGTTGAGTCACCCTTCTTTGGAATGGGAACAAATATAGATCTCTTCCAGTCAGTTGACTAAGTGATTGTCCTCCAGATTTCTTGGCACAATTTGGTGAGCACATCTAGGGCAGCATCTGTTAGTTGAAATATGTCAATTGGTGTGGCGTCCATTCCTGGGACCTTATTTTTTGCCAATTCTTTCAGAGCAGCTTGAACTTCTTCATTTATCACCACAGGCTCTTGTTCATATGTTGTTTCATGAAATTCTTATGTGTCTGCCAATTACTTTTGGTACAATGACTCTGTGTACTCTTTCCATCTTTTAATACTTCTTGATCTTTTAATATTCTGCCTAATGCATCCTTATTAATGCAACTAGTCAGTATTATATATACTAAAATGCATAAGAACCTCTGAATTTGTGCCATGCTCTTGCCATAGACAGTGTGGGAGAGAGAAATGTCAGTTTATTTGTCTCCAATCAGTTTTTTATTAACTTCTTTGAGGAAAGGTAATATGTTCAGATTTTTGTATTGGATACATTTAGTTTATAATGAACACTAAGTTGGTGATAGTTTTCTAAAGTCTAGTACAGCCTTATTATAAAAATTTCATTTTTCTTGTGTATTGATGAGTCAGAACCAACCCACAGCTGACCCTCCAGCAGGTTTTCAGAGACAGTAAATTGCACAGGAGAGGATTGCCCATCCTTCTCCTACAGAGTACCTGGTGGATTTGAACCACATGTCTTTCAGATTGCAGTGTAGCTTCTTAACACTAGGCCACCAGAAGTCCTTCTGCTGTATTATATTATTACTAATTAGTCATAATATTAATACTAAGTGTTAGAAAAATATTTAGTATCAAATAAGAGCATTTGTTATAAAGTAAAAATATTTTACTCCCAATTATTTCTAAGATCTGGGCTCAGTTCTCCCTTATCTTAAACTAGAGTCCCCTGCACTCTATGCCACTTTACTTTTCCAGATACTGCCTATCATTCTCCTCTTCAGAGCTAGTAAGGAATTGTGCTGCCAATGCACAAGGTATACAGTTTGAATCCACCATGAGCTGCTCTGTGGGGGAAAGATGAGTACTCCACTCCTGTGAGCTTTACTGCCTCTGAAAACTGGCTGAGGGGTCAGAGATGGTTGGTTCTGACTCTGTAATACTAAAAAATAACAGCCTTATCATTCTCCTCTCTAGTGCCAGATATTTGGAAAAGTTTCTATATGTTTTCATTTCCTCACTTCTCATCCTCCTTTTAGTCTAAGACAATTCTGGATTCCATTGCTCTTACTGCACTGAAACAGTTCCCACTGAATTAGCTTGACCTTCATTTTTTTTTATTTTGCAAGTATTTTTATTTCATTTTCAATCTTTACTTTCCTTGGTTAAGCTTACCATTCATGAAAGAAGAATCCTTTCCAGGCTTAAAATATAAAATCACAAAAGGAATTAAATTATTACAGTCTTAAGAACCCTAATGAGAATTTTAAAGAAGAATCAATTAAGTAAACCTTCTGATAAACCAGCTATATATAGCTCCCTAAGATATATAGAAGAGTCCATAATGAACTCTGGTAGTATAGTCCATTGGATATTGTGCCCTGACCCAAAAGTGGTATTCAACCCTCCTGTATTTAAAACCCATCTCAAGAATAGATTTGATGCATTGAACACCAGTGAACAAAGACTAGATGAGTTGTGGGATGGCATCAAGCTTTCATCATTCATGAAGAAAACAGAAGTTCATTTAAAAGACAGGAAAGAAAACAAAGATCACATTGATGTCAGAAGCTACTTTAGTGTAGAGAAACTAAAGAAAGAGGAAGAAATGTTGATAACAGAGGGCTGAACCAAAGATTTCAAGCGGAAGCTATAAAAAACAAAGTATGATCATGAAATTACAGAGACCTGGAGTTAGGAAAGAGCATCACACTCATTTCTCATGTTGAAAGAACTGAAGAACAAATTCAGTACTCAAGTTGCAACACTGAAGGATTCTCTGGACAAAATATTGAATGATTCAGAAAACATCTAAAGAAGGAAAATATGCAGAGTTACATACCAAAAAGAATTTATCAGCACCAAACCATTTTAGGAATTAGCATATTATCAAGCAAGAACCAGTGACACTGAAGGAAGCAGTCCAAGCTACACTGAAGGCACTAGCAAAATTGAAAACTTAAAAAAAATATGTCAAACTCATTGCCATCGCAAGAAGCTTCACTGCAATCCCAGAGGTGTGCGGTATGGTTCGAATCCACCAGAAGCTCTCCTGGAGAAGGGTCAGTCTCCTCCTGTAGCAGTCAGATCTGATTTGACGGTACATGCACTAAAATAAAGAAAAAAGAAAAAACACAAAAGAAAAAACCACAAAACTCATTGCCATCGAGTCGCAGTCAATTCATAACTGGCCCTCCAGTTTGGGGGACGGTATAAATCACACAAGTGGAGATTGCCCGTCTTTTTCCCGCAGAACTACTGGTGAATTCAAACCACCATAGATGTGCCACCTTCGAGTTAGCAGAGACCTGGCTGCCAGAGCTCCGTAGGCAAAAAGGTAAGACTCTGGAAATTGATGGAATACCATTTGAGGTGTTTTCAGCAAACAAAGTAAAGAATACTTGAAGAAATTACTGAAGAAAATCAAAGACTTCAGCTTTCAGTATGGATTATAACTCAGTCAGGAAAACCAAAATCCTCACAGTTGGACCAATTGGAAGCACCATGATAGGGAAATGAATGACATTTTCAAAGATTCCATTTTACTTGAATCCACAATCAAGATCCATGGAAGCAGCAGTCAAGAAATCACATGATGTATTGAATTAGGAAAATATGCTGTCAAAGACTTTTTTAGAGGAGATCTGGTGGCCTAGTGGCAAGAAGCTGCACTGCAATCC